AATTTCTTCAACACAAGTGTTCCTCACCTCAACAAATTTAAAAATGGTTGAATTTCAACCCCCAAAATCCCCCAGCCAGCCTGGCTGGGGAATTCTGGGAGTTGGTCCACCCATCTTAAAGTTGCTGAGGCTGAGGAACCCTGTTCTATAGCCCCTGTGGGAACGTAGCTCTTGGGCGTTCTTTGAAGCCCTTCGTCCACAAAGCCTTCAGGGTTTTGGGGGCACGGTCACAGCTGCCATCTTGACTTGGGGCATCTAATCAGGGTCATCCCCAGGGCAGGCAAGGGCATCCTTGGCACGAGGTCATTGTGGCTTGTACCTAACCCTGGGTTTTCAGACAAGCCAAAGTCATCTCCGCGAGGTCTTCACGCGGCACATGAAAAGTAGATCAGCTGAGTCCACTTCACGTCAAGGGCCCCCGGACAAGCTGAGAACTCAACAGGTGTAGCTTCCGCTTCGGGAGGCCGTGAAGAGATCAGAGGAGTTGAACGGGGGTCTCTGGAAGTTGGTTTCAGACTCTCTGAAAGCGCCAAAATCTTTCACGGTGGAAGGAATCTGGTTCCTTCCTTGGCAGGCTGGCGCTGGGGGGTATTTGGGTGTAACGCCTTAATTTCTGCAGAAGTACCTCCTGAATGGGGCCACGGGACCCCCTTTTCTGCCACCCCTTTTCACCGTGGCGCAGTTGGCCTTCCCAACCCTTGGCTCACATTTTGCCCGTTTCTCCCCTTCTTCCGTCTTTCAACAATTCCTTCTATATTTAAATATGCTGACTCCTTTAAAAGCAGCCCTTCCATTAATCTATCACCCTTCCATTCACCTGGGAAAAGGGGGTTGGGGGAGGGAAGGAGGCACACAAAACTCTCCATTTTTTAAAAAATGTCCTTTTCCTGTTAATTTTCCATTTTTTTCCAAGGGCAGGGTCTCCAGCCACCGAATTCTGTCCGTTTTGCATTCTTGAGAGGGAGGCGACTGGGGCTGTTGAAACGGGAGCACATTTCTCTTCCTGGAAGCGATCCGGAAGGCATTTTCCCTGGCATTTTCCTCCTCCTTTCCCCTCTTCCATTCTGTTTTCGCTGAAGTTTTTTTTTCCTCCTAAACGCGCAGCGGCTTCAGTCCTGATTCCGTATCTTCTTTCATCTCCTGACTCCCGCTCCTGCGAATGCATTTTGAGTGTCTCTTCATTCCAGTTTTTCACATTCACCAAT